ATGGCAGGGGGTTGGACTTGATGTTCTGCTCAGGTCCCTTCCAATCCTACAAACTATTAAACCAGTCAGCTAAACTACTGTAACTGCAACCTGAAGAACAGTGCATTACATTAAAAAGCTTGTCTTACTATCTCAATAATCATGCAGTTGGTCCAATAAAAAAAATATCACCCACTTTCTGCATCACACTTCCATAGTAGCTCATGAATTCAGCACAAAAGATTGGATGAGGAAATGCCTGTGCAACACTTCTAAAGCCACATCCCTGAAAATAACCAGCAGTACTTGACCAATCTCTTTGTGTTTCTGCTGACATGATATATTGCTATCATAAGAATACAACCAAACACAAGGCAAAAATCAGGGATGGTTCTCTCACTTACTCCTCCAAAACCTGGGTTGTTCCAAGTTGCTCCAACATTGAACAAAATCGTTTCTCTTCTTCATCCTCTGTCTGATCCAGGTCATCTGACCAGCCTGACTCAAAGGTCTCCTCATGTCTTGAGTGATCTGTACTCCCACATCCTTGGAACAGATCGATCCCTATTAACTTCCCTGTTGGACAGAGGGATGGGGGAAAGAAGGCATAAAAATCAGCTTTCCCAGTTCTGCTTGGGTGGCAACCTGAACCAGCTGTTACTTGAGGACAAATCTAATGGTGCCTGTGCACTGTTAAATGTGCTTGCTGACTGAAAGCAACAATCCTTGTACAGTACCATTAAAAGAAAGCAGGAAACTGGCTTTTAATCTGTAACACTGGGCTCCTGTACTGCTCATCTCACCAAACAACATTGTTATCCAACAAGATAGTGAATACCAGCAGCAGGCACAGTATCTTGGGATTTTCAGAGGATGCTCAGCACTAACCACTCACATTACCACTCCATTTCTGTATAACTAGAAGGGAAGAACACGCCTGTATGTGGCTGAGGCAGTGGATGGGTATTGTGGGTTCAGTTCCCAACTCTGCCACAAACTCCTGTGAACCTACAAAAGCAACCAACATATGTTTCCAGGCCCCATCGGCAAAATTAGGTCATAATGTTTTCTCTTTACAACCCATTGTCTACATGTACAGAGAAACTGGAGAGGACCCAGAGGCAAAGATGATAAAAGGGGTTGAAAAGCAAGGAGGAAAGGCTGAAGAAACTAAGTATGCTTAGTTTAGGGAAAAGGCAACAAAAGAAGGGACATGACAGTTTTCAAATCTTGCAAAGACTACCATAAAATGCTTCTCTATCTTTGTTACCACAAAGGACAGGGCATGTAGCAATAGGCGTAAATGGCAAAGCAGGTTTAGATCCAATCTTGAGAAAAACTTCCTGACTCTAAGCTCAGTTTGGCAATGGAACAAGTTGTCCAGAAGAGCTGTGGTATCTCCTTCATTGGAGGTTTTCAAGCAGAGGCTGGGTGGGTCCTTGTCTGTGATGGCTTAGAAATAGTGCATCCTGCCTCTTGGGTAATGGGTTAGACTGAAAGGTCCATGAGGTCCCTTCTAGCCACATAATTCTATTTTGATGGTAGGTGCTGCAAGACAAGGACTGTGTCTTATATGAGTCGGTACAATGCCTTCCAAAGAAAGTCTCTGAACAGAGTCGCTCCATCCCTGCAGAAATGGCTTTAAGCCTGAGCTATGACCTAAGGGGTGTGGTTTTATGCTAGGCAGGTAGCAGCTATTGCAAGCTAGGAGGAAGAGGGAGAGAGAGGGGACGGATTTCTTTTTGAGGGAATAAACCAACTGATTTTCTCCATCACAAAAGACAAAGGCTTCAAGTGAGAAGGTATCTTTATAAACATCTAGTGATTCTGACTTTCTGCAGAACCCAGAGGCAATAGAATTCTGCTGTGTAACCTCAGCAGCAAGCCAATAACTTCTACGACAGCTGGAGCATCTCTTAAACAGGTGCCTGGCCTTCACTTCAAGATGACAAGTATGAGGAGGGCACATCATCCTTCCAAAGCATGGAGCAAGGAACCAGGAACTTTCAAGGTCTAATCCCAGCCCTGCAACTGGCTGCTGACAGTAGGGAAGTCACTTAAGCCATCAATGCCTCAAGTCAATACCAGGGCTGGAATCTCAAAGCCACCAGTCCTAGTTCTAGACTGCATGTTCAGGCCAGGGGCCTCTGCTACATCTTTAGAGAGACAGCATTGTGGGCTACTATTTGCATGAGGCCTTATTAACAGGATACCAAGTTTTGTTTATTGTGAATGAGGTCCCATCATTTCCTTATCCCATATCCTCTTTGAACAGCCTTGATCAGCGGTTTCCAGGCATGTTCACAGAGATTAAGAGTACATCTGTCTCCATTTTTTGGACTGATGAAAGCTCATAAATACAGAGCTGGCTGTCATTCTCTGACACAGGAAATGTTTAAACAGGCTAGTCACACTACAGTGCACACTCATGGTAGCGAGAGCTTACATTCCTGTAATTTGAGTGCCGGCTGTGAATCTACAGGCACAGCCCCGGGCTGTGAGTTCAAGCCCAATATGAAATATGACTTGGCTGACTCATAAGCAGGGATCCTGATTTTCTCTGATAAAAAAAAAATTCCAAAATTTTCTGATTTAAAAACCCCTCAAAATCCACATTTTTCCATGATTATACATACATAAATATACATACACACACACACACACACACATATATACCATATATAGTGGTGTTTTGTTTTAATTATGGAGAATGTGGTATTTGGAGTTTGTTTGTTTTTTAAATCAGAAATTTTGGATTTTTTTTAAAAATCAGAGAAAACCAGGATCCCTGCTCATAAACCAGGTATAATGCAGGAGAGCAAAGCACCTGGCACAGCTCATCCCCCAGCATTTGCTGGGCCTCAGCTACATGGCTCTGAGTACTATTACTAATGACAGTCACTTCTTCAAAGAGCTAAAATCTTAAGCACTAATAAAGGAAACAATGGAACATCCAAGTGATACCTTTATCTTGCATACCTTTAAGCATGTGTATTTCCGTGGATTTTTATAAGGCCAGGCCCAGTTCAGCAAGGACTGCCAGAACCTCCAATACAAGAGGCTCTTCTGAAGGTCCAAAGCATACTCTAATCTCTCAAAGTCCTTAGAAAGGAAATTCCTATGACAGACACAGAGAGCCTGACAGACTACTGGGTAACTCATTTTACACTGGTCCAAAACTATTGGTATCAACAGGCACCCTCCCCACCTCCATAAAAGCCTGGAGTAAGAGAACCCTAACTCAGTACTGTTGTCTTTGCACAAAAGGTGGGTTTAAGTGAAGTGAGATCAAGGGAGAAGCAGACACAAGAACTAAAGGCCTTGTCTAACCCATGGACTTACCCCAGTTACAGCGCAGCATGATTGGGAAGCTCATAGAGAGGCCAGTACTTGAGATTTGTCTGTAATCTGGAGAAAAGAAGTCTGAGGGGGGATTTAATAGCAGCCTTCAAATACCCCCAAGGGTGGTTCCAAAGAGGATGGAGCTGGACTGTTCTCAGTGGTGGCAGAAGAGAGAACAAGGATCAATGGTCTCAAGTTGCAGCAAGGGAAGTTTAGGTTGGATATTAGGAAAACATCTCAGTAGGTGGGTGGTGAAACACCAGAATGGGTTTCCTAGAGAAGGGGTGGAATCTCCAACCTTGGAGATTCAGACCTGGCTAGACTAAGCCTTGGCTGGGATGATCTAGTTGGGGATGGTCTTGTTTTGAGCAGGGAGTTGAACTAGATGACTCCTGAGGTCCCTTTCAACCCTCATTTTCTATGATTTGCACATGGGGGCTCACACTTAGGTTCAAGTGTAGGTCAGCTCCACTGGTAAGGAAAGCCGCTGTGCTTGCTTGCACCAGAACTCCGATTCGTGGAGCTGGCCCAGGACTTCCCAGGCATGGCAATCACTCTGGGGATTTGCCCCTGTTACAAGGGGGCAATAAAGGTCTTGCCTTTTCCCTTCAAAAAGTCAGTACTACACATGGGAGCACCATGACAGCCACTTGAAGTGATGGTGGCACCTAAGAGGCTCCTGTCCCAGGACCTCATGAACAAAATACAGAACAGGCATTCCTGAGGTACTAGATGTCCCACCTGCAACACAGAGCCCAACATAGCTTTAATGGGCAGGCTCCATGTTCTTGGGAAGGGAAATATGGAGGAGTACAGCTGGCCTCTGGCATGTCCTTCTTCTTACAGAGCATTTGTCCTTGCCCAGAGCTCAGGGAGCTGGCACCATCCCATGTGGGCCACTTGTGCTCATGCTCAGGGAATGCACAAAGCAGTGCTCTAAAAGACTAGCTGCATGAGTAGGAACCACTAACTGGACAAACTACCTGCTCCCATCCACTGAGTACCCAACACAGGCATTCACTGAGCCAATACCTTGGGTTCTGAACAATGAAGCCAGCTGTGCTGCTTTCCAAAGCGCCTCTGAGAGAAAACCTCAGAGCTTCTCTCCTATTCATGAAGGAGGGGAGGGGCTCCATTTTGGGGTAACCACCTAGAAACACCAAAAAACCAGGGGGCCTAATTCTAATTTCCACTCTCTGGGGGGGAAAAAATCAAAGTCCCTTTAGAAGCTCTTAGACCGATGGCTGTCTGTTTGTGTAGAGGGTAATATATTAAATCTGGACCAATGTTATTTTTTTTTTCAGAAATGACTTTGAGGCACCTGAAATCAAACTCTCCACCGATTCAAGCAATGCAAGCTCATGGGTACCAAGATGCCTTTTAAAAAAGCAACAAAGCTGACTGGAGGTGTATTTACAGAGGCTTTACGAACAGCTAAGAGAAAGAAGTGCCCAGTTTAGAGGTAGGTCATTGTTTTTCTTTATTGGTTGCAGCTTGTTCTGCCAGGGCTGCTGCTGCTGGGATCCTCTTTACAGCACCAGCATTCTCCTAGCAGCTAATAAAGTCATACAGTAGCTAGCAGGAAAACAGGCCTGCAACCATAGTTCTGTGTTATCAAGTGAGCTACACTTCCATCAGCATATTTGGACAGCTGGAATGCTGAATCACATCAATCAACTGGATGGAGCCCATTTCTGAGATAGATTTTTATTCCCTCATAAAACAAGGGTCCTGCTGCATCTGGCTGACCTCAAATTCCCTGCTGTTGGAAAGACAGAAGGGAAATCCATGTATGGCACATCACCAGATACACACTCCTTCCATCTCTGATAAGCAAAGTTCAGAGATATGGCTGTTAGGTACAGGGAAGTACTGAAGGAACTGATAAAAAAAAAATGTTCTACAGGATGTGAATAACAAGAATGCTTGGGAGGGATGGGAACCATTTAAAGAACTGTGTTACACATACCACCGAGAACAATATTAAATTAAGATGGAGGAGAGAGGTGAAGGATTGGTCTAAGCAGAAGGTAACAGTGTAACAGCACCAACAAGCTGTCTTTCACCTCTCCATACACAGTATCAATTTGCATTTGCACAGATGTGCATTACCCATGTCTATGCACTGCTCTTACCTAATCCCATGCTGAATTCAACAGGTGTCAGATACCCGTTATTGTTTTGCTCTAGGCTTTCAAAAACTGCTTCCAGCTGTTCATGGGTCAAAGGGAGTTCACTCTGGAGCCGCTGTGGAGACAGAAGGAACAAACCGAAGACCCAGATCAATCTAATCCAAATCTTTTCCCATAACTCCTAATGACCTCAGTTGTGTTGGGTCAGGCCCAGAGCGATCATCGCAATTTAAGGTGATGTTACAACAAACTGTCTGGACAGTATGGCAGAAAAACCTATTTTAGGTGCTGCCTCTGGGTGACAGTGTTATGGGTGCCTGAGAGCGGCAAGTTAGATGAACAGCCAGGAGCATACAGAGGGCATTCTCCTTCTTCCAGGTTATTTTGTTCTGAGGAGGACTCCTTCAGGATCAGCTGTTCTTCTGCCTCCTCCCCACCATAAAACTTGTCTCCTCAAATCCCCCACCCCCAAGTCAGTCTCCCTGCTTATCCTTCCTGACCGAGGAAGTTTGGACTTGGCTTCCAAGAGCATCAGCAACTCTTTGCGGACACTTGTACATGCTTCTTGGGATAGAACAATGTGGTACTATGGGGCCAGCCCCCTTACCCTGTTACTCCCATCAGTGAGGAAACATGGCCTAGGATGATAACACAGAAAAATTTGGGTTGGGTTCCCAGCTCTGTCACAGACCTCCTGTGTCAGTATAAACAAGGCACTGTATCTCAGTGCCTCAGTTCTCCATCCATAAGATAGGAACAACGATAAAAATATAAAATAAGACAAAGGGTGAAAGGAAAAAAAAAAGCAACACTTCCAGGCAGGGACATTCCCATACACTGCAAAGCACAAAGGAGCCTCAACTGAGATCAGGGCTCCAAGGAGCTACATACAGCAACTGAGATCCTGATCACGCCTGTTAGCTCTTAGTAATGCTTAACAAAGTCTGTTAACAAAAGCCCAGAAAATTATGCACAACCCATGACCAAACAGGTGAGTCAATTCCTGTTTACTGAGCATGATCTACAAGTGTAATTAATGGTAAGCAGAAAGAGCTGGGACATAATTAGACTGTCAAATGTGAACCTACAGATGCAGCCATAAGAGTTGCATCTTAAGTAATAAAGCTGTAAAAAAACAAACTGCCTTCTTCCCCTCCAAAAAACCCTCCAAAAAGTCCAACTTCCCCCCAAAAACAACCACTCCCCAAAAATCCCAAAGGTGATTAAAAAGAATCCCTTAGAAAGCAGCACCTTTTCAGAGCAAAGTCACCAGTTGAGTCCTTGAGTTAGATTTTAAGGAAGCCCTTACAGACCATCTACAGAAGAAGTTGCTGGCACAATCAAAAGGACAAAAAAAAAATCAAGTCATATTTCTTGTTTTGGAGGAAATGCAGTGGAGTAAGGGAGAAACATATTTTCAGAAAAACTGACAAAGGCAAAGCTCCAATTCTCTCCTTTTCAAGGGGTGAGTGGCTGGCTGGAACAATCTCTGATGGACCTGTAGGTGACAGGGAGCTATTCAGGGCAACACAGAGGGCATCCTGCAGTGTGAAATGGAGATGTGCCCCTCCTGCCCCAGCCCCAGATCCCATCATTTTTACAGCTTCCTTTATGGGAATGTCTGTTCCTCTTACCTGCATGTCCAGCTTGGTGATGAAGCCTTTCCCCTCCTTATCACACAGCTGGAAAAGCTCCTTAGCTTTCTCCAGCATCTCCACCTGAACATCTTCTGCTTCACTCAAGGGATGGGAAGGGAAGGCATCGACAGCCATCCCATCTTCCTCTTCTTCTCCCTCCCAGTGGGCATATCCCCTCTGGCTCGCCATCTTCCCTAAACTCTCCCAGCTCGGGCTGGGACAGGTTGAATAGCTGGAATGGAAGAAACAGAAACAACTACATTAAAAAAAAAACAAAAAAAAACACAACCTGTGTGCTCCTCCATTTCCACCCTTTCCACACATACATTTAAAATAAGGAGAGTCATACTCCATTCTGCACCTCCTCCTCCAAGTGGGAAGCACAATAGCCATAGATGTCACTGGGGGCAAACAGAAGGGGAAGAGAAGCAGCCTTAGGGAGACTGCCTTACAGAAGGCTGTGCACTACATACAAGGCACGCGTGTCACTAAACCTATGGTGCCCTTTACTCTGATGGGGCCTTCACAGTCGAAGCCTAAAAAAGGACATGCTCCATTTTTCTCTCTTTCTGCCCAGTCCTACAGTGCTTTGCACCGGAGAGAGTTGATTGCGGATGAAAAGATGTAGCAATATGCAGTCACCATAAGATTAAGGAATGGCCAGGAAGGGGTAAAGCCTTTATGGCTAGGGACAGGCATTCAAAAAGCCTGAGCCTAAATTGATCCAATCTTTGCGGGTTAGTCTAACCTGGCTAGGCTGAACCAGTTTGCAACCATACAGACATCCCCTCTGGACTGAAAGAAATGCAGGCACATGCCTGCAGTGGCTCAGGCAAGAAGCCGGGGGTGGGGGCCTCCTGTCTTTTCCACAATGCTGAGCTGAAGGGGGAATGGCAAGGCCCTGGCAGGACACTCTGATTAGGGAGGGGTCCCCCACTCCTGATCAGCCCAGCAGGCAATTGATAACACAGTGTTTATCACCCCTAATTCAGTGTTTATCAGCCCTTTAAGAAAGCAGAGGGACATTACCAGCTACCTGTTGATTCTGCCTTTGTCCTGTCTGAGAGACCGTAGTCAGCATGTGGTCTGCTAGCTAATGCTGTGCGTCTGTGTAAGGCAGAGGGGATGGCAGAATCCCTGCTTGTGCAGGGGAGCAGAAGCCAGGTAGATGCCTGCAGTCTGTGCCGAGCTGCAGACAGGGAGCAGAGGGGAGGGGCAGCCCTGCTGTGGAGCAGAGAGCCCTGCCCAGCCCAGACAGCATGCCGCGATGCTGGGGGTATCTGGTTTATCTTAAACGAGCAAGGGGTCTGGGACAGACATTGCATAAACCTGGCTGAATGTAGTATCAGACTTAACCGATTTAGGTCAAACCAGTTTATCTCAACCGGTTTCAGCCATTTTCAAGCTGGTTCAGTGCACGTAAACATCTGTTCCATTACAGGTTTAAACCAGTCTCTGATCATTTAAACCAGTTTGTGTGTAATGTCTGTCCCTAGCCTATTACAGCCAGAGTCCTCCAAGAGTCAGCTGTGTTATGAATACTGTTTAAAGTCTTTGGTTAGATCATGTGGACCTCAGTTCAGTTCCTGGCTCTGCAACAGGTTTTCTGGAGCTAGCCACCTTAGTTTTCCCTGCAAACTGTAACTCACTCCAGTGATGTTATTTTTGTTTTTACTTCAATCTTAAATGGAATAAATACAGCCCCTAGTGTATTAGTAAAGCTTCTAGTTTATTTTTAACGAGAAAAATATGTATTGTGTTGTATGCAACAACGCACTGCCCATGTGCACCCCCCTTTTCAAAATTATAGATTCTGTCCCTGCCTCTCCCTCCTTACTCCTCTCACCACTCCAGGGGCCCACTCTGCAGGCTGGAAGAACTAGACAGGTAGAGCACATAGGACAGAAGGGACAAATGGGAAATACTGTTAATAAAAACTTCTACTGCTCAGTCACAAGACCATTCCTCTGATATCACAAGTTTTCCAACTTTTCTCTGCACTTTTGTAAAATAGGCAGAGTGGAGTGATTCACCCCCCATCACCAACTGCTCAAAGTCAAAAATCAAAGTTGAAAGGCAGGGGAGCAGGACGTGGCTGGGGAGATGGGGCAGCACTCTTGCTTCTCCTTATCTAGCAAGTGTGAAAACTCTTCTTGAACCCTGGCAAACTCTGCCTTGGCTCCCTGCTCTGGGTTTTCAGAATTGCTCTCCCTTAGGACTCTGATCTGATCCTCGTGGAGGTCCCATTCTCAAGCACTGGCAAGCAAGAACAGCAGCTGGAGAAGCTACAAATAGGATGCTATAAGATAATACAGTTTGTGGGGTAAAAAGTACTTTGCACACCATCTCAAGTTGTTTTCTCTTCTGTTATTTCTCTTCTGTGCCCCTCATGAGAACCTTTGTGTCATTTCCATAGACCTCAATGAAACAATTCCAGTGTTTCACACCCCAGCGTTTCACATACCTCTCCAGTGCTTCACATACCACGCTCCATACCCAATATATAAAGGGGAGGGATGGATGTTGCTGCCTTCAGAGCTGTTTCTCACTCTGTGGCAGTCTCACTACTGAGGCAGCAGTGAATTATTACTTCCCACTTGTCCTTCTAGGTCCTCTGTGCTCTATTCATCTAGTTCTTCCAGGTTGCAAGGTGGGTAACTGGGGAAGGGAGGACATTCGGGCCCTGGTGCTGGGCTGGCTATGGAAGGGAATTATAATCTCTCTCTCAGCTACACTATTCTCCAGACCTTTGTGCTTCAGGAGTTCAAAAGTTGCCAAATAAAGAAGTTTCACCTAAAATGTTGACCTCTGCAGGAAGGAAATGCCCAAAACAGAGAAGAATTTCAGCCAAAAGAGAAAATTCCAACAAGTTACAAATACTTCAAAACTATGGACTTACCAGATACACACACACACACACACTCCCACCCACCTACACCCTCCTACCTTCCAAATTCGCCGTTCCAGTAGAGCTTCCTATAAACAGGTGTCCCTTGATACCAGTAACATAATTTAAGTCCTGCTGCACTGACTGCTTTGGATTTCTCCTTATGGACAGTTGAGCCCTGCAACCAAGAGCAGGACTTAACCATGCAGACAGGCTGAGAGCAGATTTAACAGCACTAGCCAAAGAACTTTTTTCTTTTAATCTCCAAGAAATTAAAAACCATGTATAGGGGAAGTAATAGCAGCCAAGAGAATTTTTGTTTGCGCTGTTATTACATAAGAAGGACAAAGAATGTCATGTGCATAGGCAAGAGGCATTTGACACAAATCATAAAGGACAAGGCGGTTATGTGCGGCACTGTTGACTCTCCATTCTGTTGCTCTTTGGCAAGTTAAAGGGTGGTTCTGCTCTGAAAAAAAACAACGATATAAAAATTCCATTATCTTATTATTCAAGAGCATTCAGTGTTAGAGCTGCTGACTTCCATGACAGCTGTAACAATATTTATTTGAAGTGCGTCATTCAGCCCAAAGAGGTTCTCATATGCTGTATAGACCTCTTGATTTGGGGGGAGAG